AGGAGAGGGAGCCAATATTCAAGTATCCAGATGAAAGAGCTAACCAACCTGTGGTAAGAAGTGTTTAAGAGTTTGCTAAAGACAGAAAACAAAACTGCTGGAGTGGAGGTGTAAAAGACAGAGGTAAGCATGGCACAGGTGGCCCAGTGTACACACACCATGTAAGTATTCTATCGATGAGACAAATTCTAGGGGTTTTGGTTTGTTTTAGACAAAGTAGTCCTTGCTGACCTTGAACTCGCCTATTTGCTTCATTAGTGCTGGGATTAAAGGTCTGTACGCCTTCTCTAGCCTTCCAGTCCTATACTTCATCATCTTGCCAAGACATCTTTTGACTTCTATCTTCACAACTACACTCTAGTCTAAATAATCAACAGTTTCTCCTGGATCATCAGCAATAGCATGTTCATTTTCTTGTCTCCTTTTTGCTTCTGCTCCACCTGTTGTATTCAGATTGAAGTACTTGTTTGGTGTATAAAGTTCTGCCTCAGTTTCACAGAAGAGAAGGAGACAGAATATATTTTGAATTTTGGGGTTGCACATCACTTTTTGTAAAGGGTCTCCACTTGCCTGTGTATTTATAGTAGTTCCATTCCTTTCATCAGCTGGAGAATAAATTTGATAGGAATCCCTGAAACTTGACTTGCCTTTTAGAGATATGAAACACTTCCACAGACTTAATATGCAGAAAAAATAACTAGGATAGAGATCTAACACATAGCAAGAAATGGAAGGCTTCTATTTTATTGTGTAAGGCTTAACCGTCAAGCAAACCATTCAAATCGACAAGCTGCAGCTGTCTCATCATTTTGTGTGTGTGTGTGTGTGTGTGTGTGTGTGTGTGTGTGTGTGTGTGTGTGTGTGTGTGTGTGTGTTTGTATAAAGTCAACATAAAGTATAAACACAAACCCAGCTCTGTAATCTGATGTTTAAAGTTAGAAAATAAGTGTTCATATGATCTATTGTAAATTAGTAAAGAAAAATCATGTTGCCACCTTCCAGGTAAAAGATGAAAGGTGACTTTATACCTTTGAGTGTCAATTTCTGAATCTTAGAGTATCACCTCAATGGCACCTTTGCTAAGTTAAGAATCAGAAAAGGGTGCCCAGGAGAAAACAGCAAATAGTTTATGTAGTGTTGAAGTGGCCCTGATATAGGGTTAGACCTCAGGATCATCAGACTTAGACTGGGTCTGGTTGGAAATGTTGTCTGTCACTTACCAGAGATGTTTCAGTTCAGTAGATCTGCAATGAACATCAAACTTGAGGTGATTCTCATGCTCATCCCTAACGGAACAATTAGACTGAACACACATATTCATTCAGATTAGGAACAAGACAAAGGTACCAGCTACCAACTTTACTTGCCTTCAATTGCTCTTGTTAGCTCTTGCAACAAGAGAAGAAAGAGAGCCAGGAGCATAGCTCAGTGGTGGCACCGTTGACTAGAATATTCAAGAGGCCCCAAGTTTCATTGCCATCACCACAAGAAAAATGTATAATAAATAACAATGATGAGTTCTTGTTACTGATAATTGTCTACCAAGACAATGCAAAGGAATCAAGTCTAAACTCAGGAAAATTAATGAAAGCACAGTAAAATTGCACAATGAGATGCCTTCTAAAAGGCAATTCCACTAATAATTGGTTTTGAAAATGTGAAGGGAAAAATGCCCCCCCCACCCTCAACTTTAGCCAATTTTAAAAAGAATTGCATTTTGCTAAGCACTCAGGTGAAGCATATTACATTTCTCAATAGAAGGATTTAGCATTAAAGATACATAGTCACCAAATTAATCTAGAAACCAATATAATGTGAAGTAAATGCAAAAATGTTAACAACTTTATCTTAGTAATCACAGCATAATTTCTGTCTATAGTAAATTGGTGTGCCCTATGTAACAGGAAAAAAGTCTCAGCTATAACAAGAATAAGTTGTTCTTCACATACAAGGCACACAGAGGAAAGATGTCAGATATGGGAGGCAGTTGGTTAAAATCTGTATTCTATTTGTTGTATGTGATACATTAAGAATTCTACAGCAGTTTTAATGGTTGTGTTGTTTTCCATTGTATGGGTTTATCAGGGGATTTTTTTGGTCCCTGTTTTAGACATTTAGATTAACTTTTTAGTCATCAGAAAATTCGTATTTCAATGCTGGGTTGGCTTAGCTGGTGGAGACCTTGCCTAGCATGCATGAAGCAGAATTTAGTCCCTATAATAGCATAAATACAGGTGTGTATATGTGGGATGTGGAGGCAGGAGGTCAGCAGTTCAAGGTCATGCATGCTTCTGCCACATAGCAAATTCAAAGTCATATGAGGCTACATAAGAGCCTATTGTCTCAGAAAAGCAAAGGAAGAAAATCATGTTTCAGTGGCCACCTCTAAAAAAATATTTGGCTATGATAATTTAAATTGTTCTTTGTTCATTTCACAGTGAAATATACTTAAATCCCTGCAATGTCATTGCAGATAGACTGTTGCATTCAAGTGTCTCTGTGCACGTAGCTTACAGAGAGAAATAGCCAAACAGGTGCAAAGCAAAGGAGTATTTCTGAATGAAGTGGCATCTGTCTGTACCACTTAAATATGGCTTTCCTTCCTTAACAGCCATTTTGAGCCCTGACTTTATAGTTTAAAAGACAAGGGAACCTGGGCATAGGGGCGGGGGTGAAAGGGAGAGAGAGGAAGGTACGGAGAGCACCTCATCCAAATGAAAGGAAATTTTGGTTCTTATTTAGAACAATAAACAGAAAGGGCAATCCTCACCTGGCTTCATTTTCACCTCCTCTTCAGGACCTCCCTAAGCTGTCTTGTAAAAACCCCTAATTCTTATACCTGACTGTTTACTGTCCTGACTCTCTGTAAACTTGAAGTTGGTTAGATTGAGGCTGTTTAGGGGGTGATGTTTACTGGGTGGTCGAACTGCCTAGAGTCCTCACTCTTGATATCTGAACTCATGCTTGGAAAATACTTAGAATACATGGTGCAGTTCCCATTCACAGTATGTGAAAAGGACAAAGTCTTCATAAAGTTGTTAAATGTTTTACAAGAAGGGAAATAAGAACAAAACTAGATTGAAAAGCTTTGCAGGAGTGGTGCATGTTTCTAATTCCAGCACTCAGGAGTTCTAGGGTAGCTGCAGCTACAGTGAGTGTGAGACCTGCTTGGGTTATATATCCCTTAATTGAGCTAGGCGTTGGTGGTGCATGCCTTTAATCCCGGCACTTGGGAGGCAGAGGCAGGCGGATCTCTGAGTTTGAGGCCAACCTGGTCTACAGAGCGAGTTCCAGGACAGCTAGGGTTGTTACACAGAGAAACCCTGTCTTGAAAAACCAAAAAACCAAAAGCCTAAATTGGTGTCATTGTACTGTAAGTTTGAGGCTACCTATGAGTTCTCAGTCTGCCTCTAGGAGTAATTGTTGTCATTGACTACACAATGAGACCCTGTCTCAGAAAAAAAAAAAACATGTATTCAATTCCAGTACTACAAGACCCTGCTGTTCTATTCAAATGTTATTTTAAACCTTGTGAGAAATAACCATTTTTAAAACATTTTATTGATTCTTCGTGGATTTCACATCATGCAACCTGTTCCCATTCATCTCCCT